GCCGGCGCCCAGGCTGTGCAGCACGCAGGCGATGGGTAGTGCCAGGATGCCCTGCACCGTGCCTGTCGGGGGAAGCCCACGTCACTGGGGTCCCCAACCCCAGCACCGGGAGAGCGTGCGCCCGGCCACCCCGGTGGACTGGGTCGGGAGGGATGGGAGCCGGGCACGGGGACTGACCTCGGCCAAGCAGCCCCAGAGCCCAGGGGTCGCGGGGATGGAGCCGCCGGGCCGGGCCAGGGGCGCTGAGACAGACCCAATGGCAGAGTAAGGGGAGAAGGGCGGGGAGGCTGGACCACGGCCCCTCCAGCCGTGGTGGGGCTGTGGGTCCGTGTCTGGGGGGCTGGGGAGCGTGCATGTGTACACGAGCCTGTATATGTGTGTGCGCGTGCCTTCATCTGTGCGTGCAGGCACGTGTGTAAGTGCACACGTGCATGACTGCATGGGTGAATGCATGTGTATATGTGCAAATGTGTATGCACAACACATGCATTGTAGCATATACTGTGCCTGCAACAGGCATGCGTGTCTGCACACGTGTGCATGTACGTTTCTGCCAGTAACGAGGCTTGGATAGGGAGTAGGGGTGTGCTGCCAGCCCGGGGCTGTGCCAGGCTCCAGCCCCTGCCCAGTGCAGCTCTTGGCACTGCCCCGTGGTGCTGAGCTGCAGCCTGGGCCCCAGGAGCTGGTGGGACTCTCCCCGCCCCCCCTTGCCCCGGCCTACCGTCCTGGGGTGCGAGCAGCTCCTCCTGGGTGCTGGCCCGGCCGAGCACCTGGTAGCGTTGCTCCTCTGTGCCTGTGCACAGGGCCTGGGCCGCGCTGGGCGCGACACCCTGCGCCTGCAGCATGGCCTGGAAGGTGCGCAGCGCCGAGCCGTCGTCCAGCGCTGCCGCGATGCGGCCGGACCCCGCCTTCACCGACTCGGCTGCGCCGCACTGCCACAGCAGGCAGCCCCCTGCGCGGGGAGAGCGAGGCTGGGCACCGCTGCTGCAGCCCCGGGTGCAAGGGCAGCTGGGCTGAAGGGGTGCAGGATCCGGCAGCCCCGCCACCCCCGGGTGCGCACCTAGGGTGGTGACCAGCTCACGCAGGTCCGCGGGGCCCCCGCCGTGCAGACACTCCAGCGTCTCCAGCACCTCCAGCGAGTGGCCCACACGCTGCCCCAGGGGCCTGTCCATGTCGCTGAGCACAGCCGCGGTGTTGATGCCCAGCTGGCTGCCCACAGACACCTGCAGGGCGGAGGAGAGTGGCCGGTGCCTGGGCGGGGGGAAAGCCAGAGCCTGCTAGGCCCCCCCTGCTGCCTGGTACTCACCAGGCTCTGGGCCAGGGGCCGGGCGCTCTCCAGGGTGGGGTACAGGGCGGCGCTGCCAAACTTCACGTCCAGCACCAGGGTTGAGATGTTCTCCGCCGCCTTCTTGCTCAGGATGGAGGCTGCAGGCCGAGGCGGTCGCTCAGGCCCTGGAGCCCAGACACCTCCTCCTCCGGGGCAGCTCTGGGGTGCGGGAGCCCAGCGCTGCCCCCACCTCGGCCTCTCCCCTCACCCGGTGCAGCCGGGTGGAGTCTGCCCCGTACCTGTGATGAGGGGCAGGCTGTCCACCGTGGCCGTGACGTCCCGTAGGCTGTACAGCACCTTGTCCGCCGGCACCAGCTCGTCGCTCTGCCCCACGATGCAGCAGCCCACCTGCTCCAGGATCTGCTTCATCTGTGGCCAGAGCCGCTCCTCAGTGTCTGCCCTCGCCCCTTGTCCCCCCATGTGCCCCGCAGCTGGGGCAGCGACCAGCCAAGCCCCCTGCACGGCCACATCCCTTGGCCCTTGCACCCGCCCTGCTCCGGTTTGAGGCACAAAGCTCAGGGGTAGCAGCACGGAGCGGCTCCAGGGACCCATGTCACATCCTGAAAGCACCCAGGAACGGGACCACAGCGCAGCTCCGGCTGGCCGCCTTCCCAGTGCCTGCTGCGGCTCCGTGCCCACGCCAAAGGCTCTGGGCACGCATCGGGGCAAGGCAGAGTGAGCGGGGCTTTGGCTGGGGTGCAGCTTGGGGCACCGTGCAGGGAGCAGCAGTCTGGGAGCAGGACTCCGCGGCTCACAGCTCAGCCTGGCCCCCATGCCCATCTGCTGGTGCGCAGGGGTCTGGCTGGTTGCAAGGGCCAAGATCCTCCTGCAACGCTAGGCTCCTGCTGGCACCAACCCCGCAGGGCCCTGGAGGGTCTTGCCCCTGCGCTCAGGCTCAGCCCCACGCTGCACTGGGGCAGGAAGGGATCTCCCCCTTGCTCAGACTAGTGTGCATGGGGGAGGGGGTTTGAATCACACCTTCACACTTTCCTCTGCTGTCTCTTGAGCCTCCTGCACCACGTGTTATATTTTGCTTTCATATCTCTAATTACTGCCTTCGCTTTGCCCCAAAATGAGCGGCTCTCCACCAAACCTCTCTTCTTTTTAAATGTGCCTCTAAAGAGCTCCTCTTACAGATGCTGCCAGACATTAATGATAGTTTTCCCTCTGACATTTTCTGCCCAGCCCCTTGGAAGCACGAAGCCTCCTTAAAAATTAATCTTTATCCATCACAACCAGGTCCAAGTCGCTGCTCCATTGCAGCGGGTGCAGGATTGATCTTGCTGGGTCACTGTCAGCTCTTCAGCAGCCCCAGACACGTTGCCTTCCCGCTGCTGGGATCCCTCGGCCTGCTCTCCGGGTTGGCTTGGGGCCATCGCGGCCTCTCGAGCACTCCTGCTGCTGCTGTTGATTAACGCGTTGATCTTTGACCCTGTTCGACGAGTCCAAAAGCCCAGCCTGGTAGCAGAGCCAGTGTTTTTTGCCTCATCTCACTCTATAAATACCACTAGGACCTTCCTCGTATATGATGCACCTTGTGACAAGCGTGATGCACCTTGATTTGTGATAAGTGATTATAGCAAGGCTTTCAACCCCGTCTCCTGTGACTCACTACTGAGCTAAGGAGACAGGCGAGGTGGAAGTCCTGCGAGGGGATGCAGAATGGGTTGGATCGTTGTGCTCCAAGCTCAGTCCTCAATGGCTTGGTGCCTAACAGGGGAAGGTACCGCGTGGGGGTCTGTCCTGGATCCTGTACTTTTTAATATCTGCACTAACGACTTGCAAGAAAGGGCTGAGGGCCTGCTTTGCAGATCTGCAGGCCGTGCCGAGGGGGGCTGGGAGCAGGTGTGGCAGGGGACAGGGTTGCAGCCAACTGCAAAAATCAAGTGCAATTGATTTTTGCAATTGACTTTCCTCGAGTGCAAAAATCAGTCCGGTGAAGTTCAGCCGGGACGAGGGCAAAGACCAGCGCTGAGGGCGGCACAGATAAGACCTGGGGAGCGATTGGCTGGACTGCAGCCATGCAGAAGAGGACCCGGGGGTTTCAGTGAATGGCAAGCTGAATAGGAGCCACTGGTTCAGCGTGGCTGCAAAAGGGAGGTATTGGCAGGACCGTCCTATGCAGGTTAAGGGGAGCTCTGCGTCCAGTTTTGCTTTGAGGAGGTGCACAGATTGGAAAGAGTCCAGCACAGAGCGACAAAAATGCCCGGAGGTGAAGACTTATAATAAAAGGCTGAAGGCACTTAGGGTGACCTAGTCTGGAGAAGAGAAGATGGGGATTGGACAACAGTTTCTGACGCAAGAAGGGGTTGCTATAAGATGGAGAATTAGCTGCTGTGTATGTCCCCCGGGGACAGGACACGACGGCTTCGATTGTAGCAGAGGCGAGGGGGGACTTTCTGTCCTCACTGAAGCTGCCACGTCTCCATCCTCGGAGGGGTTTAAGAGCAGGCTAGACAGACACGTGTCGGGGTGACTAAGGCAGGGCAGCGCCTAGGCCCGGCCCGGATGACTCACCCACCGCCCTCCAGCTTGGCTGCTTCGTGGCCCTGTAAGATCCCTGCACGCGTCTAAGCTGTGTAATCCAATGCGATGCATGCAGCGGCTGGCAGAGACTTGCCCAATGACTGTTTTCCAGCCCAGGCTGATGGGGCCGTCTCCAGGAGGCAGCACAGCCTCCCGTGTCCTCTCGCAGGAGTTCCTGCCTCCCAGAGCAAGGACGTGCAGCAGAGACGTCTGCCACAGGCGACTCCTGGAGAGCTGGGAATTGCTCTGATGTGTCCGTCTGGGCCTTCCCGCCGGCTCACCAACTGCCCACCTGCTGCTCTGTCTTGTCCCCTTCCTGGTGGGTCACCGCTGACCCTTGCCCGCATGCCCCTGGAGCAGTGGTTTCCACCCTTGCGTGTGCAGCGCGGGCACTGGCAATTCCAGACCCTCTCTCCTGGTGGCCACTTTGCACGTCCAAAACCTCTCCTCTGTCCTGCCAGGACAGCGCCCAGGACAGGCACCTGGTCCCTCGTCCCCGCACCTGCCGCCTTGTACATTGCTGCAGCTTGGAGCAGGGGCCGGCATCAGCTCACGTGCCCTCCCTCCGAGGCTTCCTCCTTGGCGGTTCCTCTTCACCTGGCAATTTGTTCCCAGGCAAAGCCTCCCTGCCCTGCCTTCCCCACCCTCTCACTGGGAGCCTGGTGCATGGCTTCTCCTGCACCCCAACCTGGTGCATGGCTTCTCCTGCACCTCTGCCTGGTGCAGGGCTTCCTCTTCACCTCAGCCTGGTGCAGGGCTTCTCTTGCAACCCCAGCCTGGAGCATGGCTTCTTCTGCACCCCAGCCTGGTGCAGGGCTTCCTCTTCACCTCAGCCTGGTGCAGGGCTTCTCTTGCAACCCCAGCCTGGTGCAAGGCTTCCTTTGCACCCCAAGCCTGGTGCATGGCTTCCCCTGCACTCCTGTCTGGCCCCACAACTGAGAAGAAGCGGGGCAGGGCATGCGTTTTGAGAGGGGAGCTCCATGACCTTTCACCGCACTGGGGAGTGCCGCAGCCCAGCTACTCCAGCCCGGCTTCACAGCTGCAGGGACCTGTGCATGGGTGTCCCAAGGAGCCACGGTCCATGTGCCGCCAGCCTAGCCCAGCTTCCTGAGCCTCCCCCAAGCCTTGCCCCCAGGCCGGGGGTCCCCATGACATATAACCCCATGATTCGCGGCCAATTGTAGCCCAGCTCCTTATTTGAGCAACGCCCCGATCGCGACGTGCCATCTGGCACCGGAACTGGAGAGGAAGCGCTGGAGAGGAAGCTCCTGATGGTTCAATCCCGCCTCCCCCACTTCTGGGAGCAAGGACCTCATTTCCCTGGGCTCAGCCCTGCAGCCCGGCTTCCCTAGATGGCAAATGCTTCCCCCAGAGCCAAAGGCATGCACCCCACGGCTCCTCATGCGATGCTCGTGCTTCCTCCCCTGCCCCCCACGACCCCCTCACCTGCTCCGGGCTCTGGGAGACGTTGAACCCTGGGATGGACTCCAGCTTGTCCAGCGTGCCCCCGGTGTGGCCCAGCCCGCGCCCGCTGATCATGGGCACCTGGCGGTGGAGGAGCGGCCCACGGGGCCTGGTGAGGGGCGGCAGGGCAGGGCAGGGGATCCCGTGCTGGGCATGTGGACACCGGGGACACCCATCTCTGCTGGCAGCAGCTCTGGGAGGGGTGTGGGCACACGGCTGCCACCTTTCCTGCCTCCAGGGCCAGGCCCAGGATGTCCCAAAGGGGGTGTGGGAGCAACGACTCCTGCTGCAGGGCACTGATGCCTCCTGCTCCCAGCCTGCTTTGTGGGCAGGCCTGGGGAAAGGGAACCCCCTTTCTGCTCCATGTGTGTGGGGGGGGGGGCGGGTTGCAGCCTCCCCCAGAGGTGCTGGGGGCTGCGCAGCACCGACCCCGCAGGGTCCCTGGGGCAGGGAGGGATTTCCCCCCTGCTCCGACTGGTGCACTGGGGGTTTCCCCTTCCTCTGCAGCGGGGGCACGGCTCTGTGTACCCCGGGGCTGTGCCGCACGCGGGGTTGGTGCGGGCTGGTGCGGGCGGGGCTCACCTTGCAGCCGCAGGCGGCCAGGGCGGGGGCCAGGGCCAGGCTGACCTTGTCGCCCA